ACCCTGGCGCAACTGCTCAAACTCCGTACGCCATGAGTCCCTGAGACTCTGAGGGACATACTCCCTCAAAAACTTGTCTGAGAACTGAGTCCATGTAAGTGACGCTGCCTTAGCCGGACTACCTAACTCATAAGCATGCCACCACTGATAGGCCACTCCTCTAAGATGGAATGCAGTAAAAGAAACCTCGCTCGTCTCCGCTACGCCCATAGTACAGAGAATACGATGACACTCCTCTAAAAAACCCTGAGCATCATCTGTAGCCAATCCGCTGAAAGTAGGTGGGTGGTACTTTTTGTACCTCTCAAGTCTGAGCTACTCCGCCTCAAAAGCTGCTGCCCTAACCTCGAGCTGAGTTGGAGCTACCAGCTGCATTGGTACAATTTCTGGAACCTAGTCAACCTTAACCCATTGCTCTGGAGTACCGGCGACGGGAGTCTGTGCTCCTTCCCCGGCTTGAGATGTGGCAGGAGCAAGTGGAATCAATCTAGCCTGAGCTAAGGTGCTGAACATGCTCAAAAACTGGGCTAGAGTCTCCTGGAGGGCTGGTACAGAAACAGGTACTTCAGGTGTCTGCCCTCCAGATGGAGCTACTGGGGGCTCCTCTGTAGCAGCTCGTGCGGGTGCCCTGGCTGCACCACGTGGACGTCCTCGGCCTCTACCCCAACCCCGGCCTCTCGCAGCTCTAGCAGGGGGCGCGGGTTCCTGGTCATCAGATCTGCTTGTACGTGTCCTCACCATTTGTGAGAGAATAGAATACAAAAGTTTAGAATTTTTTCTTTTTGAATGACCCAAATCTAGCCAAAAGCAATTTCATATCATAAATACAACAACAATAGACTCATCTAATTAATGAAATCAATACTTTAACAAAAATTCTGAAATTAACTCTACAATTGCCCGTGAGGCCCACTCAAAATCGGGTAAAAGTCATAAAATACGAAATTCCGTTCACTCACGAGTCTAACCATATCAAATTTACTAAAATCCGACACAAAATGGTCCTACAAATCCACCAATCAAATTCCAAATCCCTAGCCTCCAACTCTCAATTTTTACCTTAAATACACACTAACTAGGTGGAAAAATACAAGGGGAAGCAAGCTTATTGATCAAAATAGGCACAAGGGACTTACCTCAAAAACTCTCTCCAAAATGCTCTCAATAATCGCCCTAAACCAACTTTGCAAAGTCCAAAATGACTAAAATTGCGAAGCCCTTCAGTTTTTAACCACTGCCCAGGTATTTCCGCACCTGCGGAGCATGGGCTCTCACCTGCGGGTGCGCTTATGCGGAAAAATGTGCACATCTACGCAAATCACTTATCCCCTTCGCCTCCGCACATGCGATGAAATGGCCGCACCTGCAGAAATCCCTTCCGCTTATGCGGACCTTGCGCACCTGCGAGGACCCAAACGCTTCTGCGGGCATCGCAGATGCGGAATTCACCTCGCACCTGCAACCCCTGGCACTCATCCACTTTTCTGCTTCTGCGCTTGCCTCTCCGAACGTGCGATCCCGCACCTGCAGTCTCCCCTCCGCAGGTGCGAAAACACCAGAAACCAGAAAATCTTCAGCAACTGGCCTAAGTCCAAATTCAATCCGTTAAGCATCCGAAACACACCCGAGGCCTCCAGGATCTCAACCAAATATACCAACCAATCCTAAAATACCATACAAATTTTTTCGATCCCTCAACTCACATCAAACAGCGCTTAAATCACGAATCACCCTCCAATTCAAACTTAAAGAACTTGAAGCTTCAAAATTCTACAACCAATGCCGAAACCTATCAAACCACGTCTGATTGACCCCAAATTTTTCACACAAGTCATATTCAACATTACGGACCTACTCCAACTTCCGAAATCAGAATCTGACCCCGATATCAAAATTTCCACTACCGGTCCAAAACTCCAAAAATTCGACTTTCGCCAATTCAAGCATAAATAAGATACGGACCTCCAAAACACAATCCAGACACGCCCCTAAGTCCAAAATCACCTAACGGAGCTAACGAAACTAACATAACTCCATTCCGGAGTCGTCTTCATACAGTTTCGACTATGGTCAAAATCCTAAGACTTAAGCTCCCATTTTAGGGACTAAGTGTCCCAAAACACTCTAAAAATCAAAACGAAACCTCCCGACAAGTTACAATAGCAAAAATAATTATGGAAGAAGCAGTTAAATAGGGGATCAGGGCTATAACGCTCAAAATGACCGGCCGGATCGTTACAGTCTCGTGGTCCCAAAAGTAAATACACAACTCATAACCCATGGAATAACGAATTTACAACAAGGAATCATACAGTTAAAGACTGAATACAAGATCATAGAGGCAAGTAATTCAACTAAGCATGTTGCACAAATTTTAAGTAAAAGTTAGGACACGTAGACATGTGATACTAGGCTAAACATGAGAGCTACACATGCTAAGGCAACTTAGTTAAGGAATTTAAAAGAAGATAACGCAGCAAGTACCGGAATTTCCACAATTAGCCCGTCTAGGATTGTGTTGACTGCTATTAGCTTACCTAGCGGGTGGGGTTATGTGCCATTATGACTAGATGGATTTTGGATTGTGACACTTTGTGGCCACGATCAAACCCAAAAAGAAAAAGATTTTAATATTATCTCAAGTGAAGAACAGTTCAGTGAGTCGTTTCATTAACATTCTTTAAATTGATGCAGTTACTATTTTTGCCACATAGTTAATAATCTGAAATTCTAGTTAAAAGAAAAGTTATCTAGCATTGTTTACATAAGAAAAGTTACCAATTGACTCTTGAAAATTGATATATGAATAATGTCAAATCAAATTGCAACATACGAAGTATAAATTTTTCATGTTTAACATCACCTCCTATAGTTCAATTAAGAATAAAATTGATTTACAGATTTTGGGAAAATGATAATTTCATAAACTAGTTGAAATAAGCTGTAAAGGTTCTCATTATCATTATGTTCTATACGAATCTGTTTAATTCCAATACATAAAGAAATTATCTAATAAGAGTGATATTTAATTTAAGAATTCCAATATAACCCAATAACCAATCAAAACAAGTAGTAATAGAAACATGTAGATATTAACGTTAAAAATGCAAATACTAGATGGACGTAGTTCCGAAAGAGATGTTTACTCCGCAGCAAAACTCAAACTTCCTATTTTTCATTTTCAATTTCCTGTTTGATAGGACCCCGATTAATTTGATTCACGCCGCATTAGGTCCATTATAGAAGAAACACTTTCTATCAAGAGTTTTATCTATTCCCATGATCCGAACCTCGAACCTCTAATTAAGGGTGAAGAGATATTATCTAAATAACCACAACCTTTAGTGATCAAAACTTCACAATAGTACTATAGATTTCGGATAGTGGAGATTGGGTTCCAAGGTTTATGGGCTAAGGTTGAAAAAAGAATCTTCAGTTAGGTTGTGTTGTCGGGATTTTGTTGATTAGGGATGATGTGAGATCATCCATGGGTATGCGTATGGTGAGGATATATTGTGATTTGATGGCTTTGGAATGACTCATGGCACGTTTAATGACGAACGTATATTTATGTGGCGGAGAATGTAACGATCCAACCAGTCACTTAGAGCATTTGCATTTCCGTTTGGTAGTGGAGGTCGCGAATAGCTTCATATGATGTATTATGACTTATGTGTATAATCAATATTGGTTTTCGAATTGTTCGAGATTGATTTGAAAGAATAACTTTCAATTTGGAAGCTTTAAGTTGGAAGAGTTGACCAATTTTAGCTTTTGTGTATTCGATCTCGGATCAGAGTTTTGATGGTTCTGTTAGGTCCGTATGGTGATTTTGGACTTGGCGTATGCCCAGATTTGCATTTAGATGTTTCTAGAAGATTTTGGTCTTAATTGGTAAAAGTCAGCAATTTGAAGGTTTGGAAAATTCATAGGTTTGTACGGGAGTTGGCTTTGATGTTATCGGGTTCGGATTGTTGTTCCAGGAGTTAGAATAGGTTCGTTTTAAAATGCGTTTTCGGGGTGAGGCGCATCAAAAACGTTCCGAGACGATGGTGTGGGGCGAAAGTCTCAAGAGGCATACACCCAGTAATTTGGAGTGTATGCCCGGGCGTTTGAGCCGCGTTTTTATAGTGAGGCGTAAGCCCTAGATACTTTTTCAAATTAAAATAAAATTTATTGAATAAGTCCTTCATATACTACTCAAATTCTCAAAAGTCGACATGTAATTACTCAAAAGTTTTAAAAAGGAATTGAAGTATATTAAATTTAAAAGTCAAGACCTTTTTTATTGATTGAAGCCCTTATTCATGATCTTTCCCAATTCTTTCTTTTGTCCGCTAGTATACTAATATCTCCCAAAAACAACGAATATTCAATTTTTTTTACAAATACAAACAGAACTCCATTCTTTTTCATAGCAGCAAGTTCAAATTGCATGTTAGTCATCCTTTTTGTTCCTCTATGTAAAAAACTTCATTCTTTTCGACTCAAATCACTTGTGCTTGTAAGTAGCGCATGATAAATTATTTTGACTAACTTTTTTGTGGGAATGGAGGGACATCTATATATATATTTCACATATTTATAGTTTTCTTCAATTTTTATGCAATTTTATATGTTTATAAATATTTACTGTAATTATATTATTTTAAAAAATATTAAAAATTAAATACCTATAAGGCTTACGCATCGTGCCTTGAGACTTACGCCTCGTGCCTTTTAAAACACTGCATAATACATTTAATGAAATCTCAATTATTCATGGTTTCTTCATTTAAGTTGATAAACGTGATACACATTGACATATGGGTATCCCCTGCACCATATTTGGCTCCGTATACAAAAATAAGCAAAATTGAAACTATGAAAATTTGTTATGAATTTTCCTCAGGAGCAAAGAGATACCAAAAGCAAAACAATATTTTGATTCAGCGAAAAAATTCAAACTTTTTAATGATGTGATCACAACAAAAACAAACAAAAAAATCTTAAGATGGAGAGATCTAAATACATGACAATTTCATCAAAAGCCAAAAATCATGAAGAGCATACTGCAAGTTAAACTGGAATTGATACACCGAATTCGAAAAGCATCAAAACACTGCTTTACACCACAAAAATGTGATCATATTTTAATTATTTCATTGTAAATTACATCATATCCAATATTTACCTTACCAAATGAATACCATACACCGAGCAGAACAGAACATTTCCAAGTTTATCTTCAAAATTCTGGCCGTTGTAACGCTCTAAGATACTATTTACATTTTTCTGCCCTGAATAAAGAAAAAAAGGAAAAAGAGAAAGCAGAACAAGAAACGAAAATTATTATAGTGCACCTTGTACAGAAATAAATCATTACAAAGCATGTCAATTCTCAGCCATAAAATAATATAATAATGGCTAACTATGCCAAAAAAGTCTTTCCAGATAAATATCAAAAACAAAAGAACTGCCTGCATCTACTTTCAGAATAATAGAATTTTGAATTATATAATGAGAAAAGGCCCACCGCTAGGAAAAAAGGTTTAAACTACTGCACCACATATTAAAAGATTCCCTAATTGCTCTAGGAAGAAGACATGTACAGAACTTAGTTAAAAAAACATATAGAAACTAGCCTGAAATGATTGCTCCTTAGAAAGCAGCCAAAAAAAAAAAGAAGACTTGCATCTAAACGAACAAATTAAAGGCCGGCCATGCATAAAGCAGCCTCCTCCATTTAACCAAGAAGAAAGATAAAAAGAACAATGTAACATTATATGTGAAGGAAAATGATCGTAAATTGTATACCCTAATGACAAGAAAAGGCTCTCAATACATAAAACATCTCCCGTTCATTTAGGTTCTAGGTAAAGACCGCACTGTGATATAGAAAACTTATCATGATGCATCAATGACTAATTTCACCGCTCGAACTCGTGATTTACAGGTTATACGGAGATAATTTTATTGTTGCTCCAAATCTTCCTTTTATAACTTGTATACACTAATGGAAAAAAAAAACAAGAAAGACAGGCCATGCATAAAGCACCCTCCATGCAACCAAGAAAGATAACAAAAACAGTACATCATAACATTATATCTAAAGGAGAAAAAAAAACCAAGAAGAACAATTTAACTATGTGAAGAGTTTTTATATAAGTAATATGTCTTATTTTTCCAGATTCCTAATCTAACTTGCTATGGATAGTTACCTATAAATGACCTGATAGTGTAAATTTATTAATATATTATCGATGTATAAAAGTTAAACAAGCATAATTTCTTCTCCTTAATCACTCTCTACTGAAAACAAAGAAAAGATTAAATGTAAGTGTCTTCTTCTTTTCCATTTTTTTTATAATATAATTTCATTTTCTTCCCCTGATTTCAAGAAAAACCATGAACAAGTCTTGAATGTCAATGCATGAGCAGGTTAACTTATCCTGAAACAGATGAAAAGACTGAAGTATAAACAAATATTTAATCACAATTATAAACAATAGGCATCAGAACTTGTTATTCTACTCAATGGGTCTAAGGTTGAAATATACCTCCAAAGGACCAGCCCTAGATGGTCATGCGATTCTGAAGAGTATATCAAACTGAAGCCTTTTTGGTTAATTGATAGATTGAAGACTTATGAAATGAAGAAGTCCAAAATCTTCTTCAACCAGCAAAATCATGCAAAAACTGCCCACCAACAAAATTTCTTCCGAATTGTCCATTTTGTTCTTCAAATCCACCAACAATAAACCTGTCACTATTTGCATCAATACCAAAACGTCGAGCTGCATTAATCGGAAAGGGCTCCGATAAACCAATCCCAGTATTCTGATGAAGGCCCAAGGTTAAGGACACGCCACTCGTTCCAGTTGACAAATTGCCATAAGATAAACTTATTGAATCTGCGTTTCCCATTGGAAAATCATTTCGAGTTCGTTTTGGTGGAGTGTCTTGTAATCTTGGTGCAGAAGTAGATGGAGTTTCACATGCTGCATGTGAATTACTCGTAGGAAAATGTTCAATGGAGTTGTTGTTGTTGTTGCTGTTATGTCCCTCCCTTTGAGAAGCTTTATTATGAGCTTCCTTAGTTTCAAGCATGTGTATCTCCTCCACCATAGGTTTCCAGAGTCTTACTCTTGCATTGATGAACCAATTAGAAACCTGATTCATGACAACTTGTATTAGCTATAGCACAGCAATTAACTACCTGATAAAAACGGTAACTAACATGCTATAATCAATAAGTTAGACTGCACTAATGGTGTAAATATTTTTTACGTGTATACAAGAATTCAAAGTGAATATGTTAGAAGCAACACTAAATATATGAAATATGTCCATATATTTTATAATCCGCTCACACTCCTACCTACCCCTTTTGCAAATTAAAACTTTCCGCATTCCCTTTCCAGGGTTAATTCCTTCACAATCACAGAACGAAGTAAGATATGCGAACCTGATTCCTTGAGAGCCCAGTCTGTTTGGCTAACATTACTTTGTCAGTGTCCGTAGGGTAACTGCAACAACAACAATCTTAAGGAGTCAAAACTTAATAAGAAATGGATCTCAATGTGATTGCTTCTGCTAAGATGTATGAATCTCCACTGAATTTCTAAAGCAAGAGTTTAACCTCTCTACATTAACAAGGGCTAAAAACTTATACTATCAAATCACCTAACCGTCTGTAATAAGTGAAATTTAAGAAATCATTGGACTGTGAGTGTATATCAAGTTAAATACTCTGAATTCATATTAACATTACTTACGGGTGAAGAAAATGGTCAAACAACCAAGCTCTAAGAACGGTCACTGCACGCTCAGGAAGTCCTCGTTGTGGTCGCCAAATAGGTTGAGTCCTATCAGCAAATCCAGCATTATTGTGGATTTGATCTGGTCTTTGGCAATAGAGTCCTTTGCCAACTCTAGGGATAGGGTCTCTTTCACAATTTCTTTGACCATGACGAGATTCGTTTGTAAATTGCAGTTGGTCAGTGATGGCATTTTTAAGGCAGTTGAAGTGTTTGGACATGGTTTTTAAAGCTAAGTTTGCAAACGGTGCTGCATTCCCAAGTCCAGCAACAGATTCAAAAGATGTCACAACCATTTGTAGCTGCTGATGGTACTGCTTATACCTTTGGTATACCTGTCAATAGCATCAAAAGAGAGTTATTGAGAAACATTACAAATATTTTGTTTCATTTATTTAGTAGTAAGCTTCCCATAAAAGCTTATCCAAAAGAGTTTAACTTTTATACACCTACACGGTTATATGTAGAGATAACTACAGCCAATAAAATATGAAATTAGTAATAACTTGAAAAATAAGACAGGTTCTCTACAAGGTCTTGAAGACCCTTGACCACTAAACTATGCTTTTAAACGGTGTCAAGGGAATTCAAAACATAATATATAGAGGTAAAAATCATATTTTGATTTATATATACAGTATAATTTTTTGGCGAAGGGGTACCCTCTTCCGCCCCGCTAAATCCGCTCCTTGTTACCTGCTACAATAAGTCAAAATATACTACAATAATAACTATACCTCAGTGGCAAACAAGTAGGAGAGGTTAAAGTAGATTAAGCGGTCATCTGATTAATGGTTTGGAATAATTAATCCTAGTATAAAATAATACCAAATGTTTAGTTAGCCGCAAAAGAAAAAAATAGCCGCTTAAGTTATACATGAATCTACGTATTATTTTATGCGTGATAGAATGTGGAATAATAATGTATATAGTAGCGATGATGGGATTAAACTATTTAAAGAAAAAAATATCATTTTAAAGTAAGTAATTCATGTATAACAATTTCCTCATTATTTATGACTGCATAACAATACTTCAATATTAATCATACATGAATAATTTCTGCATTATAATTTCCGTATAACTAGTATGAACTATACAACCCTCTACGGTATAATAATTCCTTACACTTTCAGTGTATTTAAGTTAAATCCTTACTAAAAAGAGCAACGCCTATCAGTGATTGTATATCTGATAAGTTCAAGAAATACAAAAAAAATTCTCATGCAACATATGATGCTTTTCATATCCTGAAGATATCATAATATCTAGTTATATTGGCATGAGTGACAATATAATCCATTTTGAAAAGATTAACAGCAGCTTTTACAAATTGGTTCAAATCTTTTTTTTTTTACTTTGGAGAAGTTTTTTTACAAATTGATTCAAATCTTTTTTTTACTTTGGAGAAGTTCTTTTTTTAAACTCAGTATTGCTGGCCCACGGGACACTGTATAATGTATATCACTCGTTTATCGTTTACACTATGACAAGGTCTGACCTACCCAAGTGTTTCGTCTTAAAGTGAAAATTAATTTTATGCTTTATTGAATTTTCTCTATTGTTACATGCATTAATTCTCAAACTAAAAATAAATTTATTGCACCTAAACGCAAGCAAAAGCACAAGCCGATCTGCGATTTTGGCCGAACCCAGAAACTTTTGCTCCAATAGAGTATTTAGTATTTTGAATTTACGAAATATATATAAAAATTAATTGTAGAACTCAGTCATTAACACTTGACGCAGTGATCCAAAAATCACGGCTCCGCCTAGGGCGAAACGTGACATGAGCCACTAAACAAATAATTTGTACTCTTGCTTTACTAGTATTTTCTTTTCCTAATACAGAAGATATATGTAATTTGCATCCAACCAGGTCCAATTTGATGTAAAGTTGAATATTCTCACAGCCGGACTTCTTCAAAAGACTCTCATTACAATTAACATTAATTTAAGATTATGTAGATATATACCTCTATCACTTAACAATTAAGATCATTATTAGGTGCACAAAACTAGTAGTAACATATATTCTGTATGCTCATTATATTTTGAACGCATTGAATACAATATAATCTAATTGCACCTTCACAAAACATTTTTCTGAAACGAAAACTGTATAGCTGCTAGGATCAAAGCAACCAAATGGTGTTCAGAACAAAAGAACGGTACGGTAGGAAAAAAAAAAAAAGGCTGAATATATCTTACATAGGGAAGAAAATAAGATTAATTAATAAACAATTAAAAGAATGAGAATATGAGAAAAATAAGGAAATAGGGGCACTTGAGAAACCATCGCGAATCCATCTTTACTAAGTTTAAGGTAGCATTAATTTTCTCTAAAAAAACTTTTCCTCCTAGAATAAACCCTTTTAGATGGAATCCTTTGAATTGATTTCTACACAATAACAATAAGCCAAAGTTTAGTTAACATTGTCACCTATTATAATTCTTTAAAGGATTTGGTTGGGAAACAAGTTATCTTATGATTAATTAATCCGAAATTGTTATCTTACCCTTTCATAGGGATAAAAATAACACTATTACCGCAATTTTATCCCAAATAAATGTAGTATAAATTCATCTCAAATTTAATCTCGCGATTAATTATGTCTTATTCTTAATTATCTAATATAGTGGGGCACTTTACTTAAGGCACCAATTATAGTGCATATATTCCCTCAAGCACCTATTCAGAAAAGATAACTTAGTGATCTATAAGAACCTGTACGCCTATATGACAGGCATCTAGCTAGGTTGCACAAATAGACAAAGCCATATACTATAAATTACATTAAAATATTACTTAGTAAATAATATCATTGCTAAAAGCATCTAAATAAATACCCTAAATCTAATAGTGCATGCTTGTACGGACATAGAACGATAATTCATCACTTTAAAAAGCCTCTCTCCATTTAATTGCAAATATATTCTAGTGAAAGACAAGTATGAAATTCTCACGGACAACAGCTATATAGAATCATAAGATAAAAAAGGGCAAAGCGGTCCTTGGGATGAATTTAAGTAGGCGGACAATGTTGGTTATATTTGAAAACAAACAAAAAATTATTTAAAGTGGAATTTGAGAAAGAGAATTTAGTAGTTGAAAGTTGTTGATTGAAAATGAATATCACTCAGTAAATGAAAAAAAAAAAATTATTTCACTAGAAATGCTCCTCGTTTATCAATATTTCACCAACAAGAGTTTATAAATACTTAATCAATGTTCATTATCTGTATAGCTAAATGTTAACTTTCCAAAAAAGACTTGAGTATTTGCAAGTGGTAAAGTCATGGCCAAACATAGAAAACGTTCTACATTACAGAAACAAGCTAGTAATTCTCCACCCTACTACATCAATATAATTTGACTACGTACTTTTTAAGAAGAAGAAAAATCAAATAAGCAAGAAAAAGTGAACATTAAACTCCTAATTCAAATTAACAAAATCATTTACTCCAATAATTATTAGTACCAAAAAAAGCCTTACGACTAAATATAATAAAGGTACCTCATGAAGCATCAAAATTAACCTGGATTTCTTCTTCCCATGCTCATCTCCATTACTACAATCTTGTCGATCAACAACAATATTCTCATGTGAAGGATCCATTAAATTAAAATCATCAGCTGCTAATTTTTCAGCATAAATCTCTCTACCCACATCACATGATAATTCTTCTAACAACAATTGTGCAGGTTTCAAAAATCTTGATCTCTTTAGAATTAAAGAGTAGCCCGTAAAAGGTCCAAGTGGAACACAACTACTCTTTGACAGAAAGTCATGATTAGTAGTATTGTGATGAAGAGATGACAAAGACAAAGATAAACCTTGACCATTTGTATTATTATTATTATTATTATTATTATGCACCATATCTTCACCACTAGTACGGATAGATTGATCAAGAAATCTTAGGTTTTGAGGGGTGTAAAAAAATGGGGTGCCATTAATTTCTTGAAAACTTGGCAAATCTGAAGATATAATTGATGGATCGTAAAGAGGAACTAAACAAGAAGGATAATTTTGGAGTTGAAGATTATCATCAACTAAAACTCGAAGTTTATCTCTTCTACTTTGTTGTGGGACATGGTATGGTTCAAATCCTTCAGCCATCACTACAACAAGACTCTATATTTATTTTTATTTTACTGTTTTTCTGTAAAGACTGAGGAAAGAAGGAGATGAAAGGATGGAGAAGAATAGATGAAAAGAAGAGAAAAGAAAGGAGTGAAAATCAGGAACAGTACTGAATGAAGAGATGTTGTGGGTGTGATTGGATGAAGTGAAAGGCTATTGTTATTATTAATAGTAGTACTAGTAGTAGTATTGTGGATTATGACAGTATACTGATATCTTTCAGTCTGAGTTGAGGCTGCAAAATATTGGCAGAGAGAGAAATAGAAAAGACAATCACCTTAAACGAGGGAAATCACTGTTACACTCACTCATATATAGAATGGGGATGTTTTGGTAGTATAGAGGTTGTGAAATGCATTATTTAGGCACAAATCAGAATTTAAAATTTATGTTCTAATCTTTAAAATTTTATCATTGGATATATTATAATTTTTGAAATAAAAGCTGGAGTAATATTTATTGTAATTTTAATAAGACATATTTTGTGTGAAAAATTCGGAATGGAGATAAATAAGAAACAAGAATGTTTATCCACCTTTGTTCAGACCACGGAGAGAGGAGCAGTGCTTAACAGGGGTGAATGCACATGGGTGAAAGTAGGGTATTAATGTATATTTAAAAATCGATTAAATCGATCGAACTATACCGTATCGAATCGAATTTTAGGTTTTTTTTAATAAAATTGTAGGTTTTTATATAAATCTATAACTGTGGCGATAATTAGTGTATGATTTTTATTTTATGAAAATAAATAAACCGAAAAAATATCGAACCGTACCGAATAAATTTACATGTGAAAAATATACTAATATATTAAGTTTAAAAATAATAAAGTATTAAATTTTTCCTTGAATTTTGGAATTATGAAAATAGTTACAAGCCAACAAGTAATTAAATATATATTTAGATTTAGCCAACAAGTATGATTTAGATTTATCCTTTTGAATATAGATTTTATTCTTGAGTCTCAGTCCCAACTTGATTAATATCTTTCCACTCGTATAATTTATATATTTTTATATTAATTTGCTTAGTTTCTTTTACGTTGTTATAGAATAGTTGATGGATCTATACTCTAACCATCTTTCATATTTTCTTAATTCATCACTCTTTAAAATGTAAAAATGCCTAAAGAGTTTTGCTAAATCCTATAAAAATATGCATATTATTGCATTCTACTTTTACTAGCGACTTTTACATGATATTTATAAAAATACAGAAAATTAACCGAACCGTACCAATACCGAACAGAAACTGATATGATTGAGACGGCTTCAAAAAATCTAATTTTGGTTATATATAATAGAATAACCGAAAAATTAGTATGATACAAATTTTATAAAATAACCAACCGAACCTAACCATTGACACCCCTAGGTGAAAGAGGTGTCATCCGATACCATTTTGCCGGAAAAATATTTAATGTTTATACTAATATTCTACAAATATGAAGCAATATATAATAATGACACCGCTTCTTGGCAAATATTATTTTTTGATCCACTGGTCAAGCTCATATTTCGGCTTATAAAGGTTGTAGGTTCGAGGCTTGACCTATACGTTCTAGTTTTTGAACATCTTTGAGCGAGTATTTTTTTGTTAAAACTTCGAGGCAAAGAAATATTGGACATATACTTCTCTTTGTAATAATATTCAACTAAACCATTGGGCCAAGGCTTACAACATGGATGAATATGATATTAAATAATACTTATTTATTTATTATTATTTACTTAAATATGACACCGCTTACAAAAAAAAAAAAAGTGTGTGCCAAATGAATAAGCAAGGCTCTTTCTTAAATCTCTATATTTTTCTTTGGTTATAAACATTGTACTTACTTAGTGGGCGTTTGGACATAAGAATTGTAAACTTCCGAAAAAAGTGAAATTGTTTTCAAGTGAAAATTGTATTTGAAAATTAGAGTTGTGTTTGGACATGAATATAAAATTTTGGGTTGTTTTTGAATTTTTGTGAGTGATTTGAGTAAAAATTTAGAAAAATAGCTTTTTGAAATTTTTTAAATTTTTTAAAAATTCCAAAATTCATCTTCAAGTAAAAATTTAAAATTTTATGGCCAAACACTGATTTNGATGGTACAAACAAGCTTTGAGCCCGAGAGACCGATCAATGTCGAGCTCGATATCATTATCAAGCTCGAATCCAAATCGAACTATGATGCAAAGTAAAGTTATCGAGCTTATGATTCATAGATCGACCAACACTGACGCCGAATCGATGCAAGGATCCGAGTCAGAATCGAGCTCTAGTCAAGATTGAGAGACTCGAGTAAAGACCGAAAACTCGAGTCAATATCGAGTTCATAGACAAGAGCCGTTGCAATCCCACTAAAGGAGAGAATCCTAGCAGGAATTATGGAAAAGCTGATTTATCATGGGTTTCCCACTATATATTTTTAATTATATCTAAAATAAGATTCCTCTACTATAAAGGGGATAGTTATTATTTCTGTAAGGAGAGGTCTTTTTCTTACATTGTAATTCAGGCCCCATATTCTCCTATATTCAAGAACTATTCTCTGAGGCTTTATTAATTGACTCATTTTGCTTAGTCTAAACCATCATCTTCTTTCCAATCTTGCTTATTTTGCATTCTTTGTAATCCATATTTGATATTTCTATTTATTCTTACAATTTGTATCAAGCTATATCACTTATCCTTAGAATTACATATAAATTCAACTATATCTATTTTTCGGGTAAACAGTTTGGCGCCTACCGTGGGGATAAGGATAACAATGGTTATTTGATACGAATCTACAAAAACACACCGTTTTGCGCTTGTTTCTGAAAGTATCTTGGATTTTGGATTAGCAACGACTAACTACCAATCAAATGGCCTCACCTATCGACAACGAAGTCGGTCTTCAAGATGAGAACAATAACTTGATGCCCAGTACCGAAAGACCACTTGTCAATGCCGTCGGAGCTCGGATCGAATTGCCGGTAGATATCAATTCGGATGTGGCCATTAAGGCGAACCTACATTCTGAACCCGAGAATAGCATTCATGGTGGCACTCGGTCTGCAGCTTGAGATACCCATAACGTCGAGGTAAACGGCGTCAGCTTGCGTATGATTTTCGAAATGTTGCAAGCTTAACAGGCAGCAATAGCTTAGTTGTAGAGCCAAAACCAGGTACCGAGCAGGCCAAAGCCCAATCTGCCTCGAAAAATCGCCCACAGAATAGAGCCAGCCATAGTAAGGTCAACCGAGCAAGAATCGGGGACTACTCCAAAAATTGCTAAATTACTCGAGGAGCTCACAAAGCGAGTCGAAGCGAACGATAAAAAAGTAGAAACATATAACTCCAAGATCGATCAGATCCCAGGAGCTCCACCAATTATAAAATGGTTGGATTCCAAAAAATTCGTGCAAAAACCTTTCCCCTCGAGCGCAGCCCCAAAACCAATCCCCAAAAAATTTCGTATGCCCGAAATTCCCAAATATAATGGAACGACCGACCCCAACTAGCACGTCACTTCTTACACCTGTGCCATTAAGGGAAATGATTTAGAAGACGATAAAATCGAATCTGTGCTGTTAAAAGAATTCGGAGAGACCCTCTCGAAGGGAGCAATAATTTGGTAACACAACCTACCACCAAATTTCATTGACTCGTTTGCCATGTTAGCAGATTCTTTTGTAAAAGCACACACCGGTGCCATAAAAGATGCAACAAGGAAATTACATCTTTTCAAGGTAAGACAAAAGGATAATGAGATGCTGAGGGAGCTCATATCTCGTTTCCAAATGGAACAAATGCATCTGCCACCAGTCACAGACGATTGGGCTGTTCAGGCTTTCACTTAAGGCTTGAATGAGCGAAGTTCGACGGCCTCATGACAGTTGAAGCATAACCTGATCGAATACCCAGCCATAACGTGGGCATACATGCACAATCGGTACCAATCAAAAAAATTAGGGTCGAAGATGATCAGTTGGGGTCGAACCCGCTGCTCGAAGGGATATTAATCGAGGACAAGGTCCGATCGTGGACCGATACCGACCGCATAATGAAAATCACATAATCGGTGAATCGAGATGTAACCCCGGGCAAAATAACAAAAGAAGTAATCGAGGTCAAAGATCCCGGGGGCTGATGAACAAAGATGGGTTCGACAGGTGATAGTAGGCTATATTTATGCAATTTAGACACTACTTACACTCTAATTTAGCCGTACTTTATTGATATTTGAATGCTAAAAGATAACAAAATGCTCTAATTAAGAATTTGATGCTTTGCTGGAGCTACTCAGAGCTAGGAGGGAGCTAACGAGTATTTTGGAGTCAACATGGAGTGTGAAAGCCTAATCGAAGGTTAGCCCGGTCGAAAAGGAGTGAGAAAAGCAATCGAGACGGCCCCTCCAGGTGCGCGGCCGCGAATTGGTCCGCAAACTCAAGGCAGTGAGGCAGTGGAAATCTGCGGCCGCAGACGGATAGACGAAAGCCAAACACGCAGGGTTAATTATGTAATTTTCTAGGCGACTAACCTAAAGCTATATGAAATCTAAACTCGCCCAGAAGTGGGAGATAACTGGTTTTAGAAGATTTTATAGGCAAGAACGAGGGAGAGAAGACGGATAATTTCCTAAGAGTTTTCATCTTCTTCATACTTCTATTTGTTGATTATGAATTATTTTAGTGATTTGTTTTCCATTAGTATGAGTAGCTAAATCTATTAACTAGGGTTGATGGAACCAATTGTTGGATGAAATCTTGACTTTATTTTGTTATAATTGAGCCGTGTTTGTTCTATGATTGTTCAACTACGTATTGTATTGTGGTTAATTGGAAGGGCCCTCAATTAATCGTGTCTAGTTACCTTATGTTGCTTGAGAAAGAACACTTGGTTAGATTGTTGTTGAACAACACCACTTTTGGGTAAGTTAAGAGATTAATTACTTGAATTTAAAAGTGGGGTTAGAAATAACGAAGCTTTGGTGGGATAATTCTGAGTTGCATAAATTGTTAACTAGAGTAGTTCGAGAGAATGCTTCTAGTAAATTATTGTAATTGATCGAGAGGTAATTACGGTACCCTAAAACTCATAATCCTCATAGAGTATTACGGCGAGATTATAGCTAAAGAGTTAAGAATTAATCCGGCAATTGGAGAAATCAATAGCCCTAGATCCGTTTACCCTTTAATTCAATTTTATTCTTGATTATTGCTAATTGTATTGTCATTTTTCCTTAGCTAAATAAATTTCACTGATTATTCATAAAACTATTGCATCCGGA